GTGTGTGTGTGTGTGTGTGTGTGACTGGAATGGTATACATATCAAACGGGAAAAGGTCACCATCAACGGGAAAATAACGACCTGTAAAAAAGAAACATGCTGATAATCATGATTCTGTTGCAACCTCAAAGCATATGCACGCACGGCCTCACAAAACAGCAGCAGTTATACGGGTCATCGGCGCACAGAGGCCATGTTAATGTTCTCTCGCTCTCACACATACACACTCACTCTTTTTCTTTCTATGATCTCATTCACTATCGCTAACGGCATACACATCCTCTGTAAAACAGCGGCCATCAGCAGGAGACAAAACAATAAATGTAAAGAAAAGATGAACATAATCATGATTCGATCCCAACCATGAACCATATGCACACATTTTTATAATAAAACATCAGCAGTCATGCTTGTCATCCCTTCACAGGCTATGCAAATCTTGTGTGTGTGTGTGTGTGTGTGTGTGTGTGTGTCTCTCTCTCTCTCTTTCTCTGTGATAAATATAAGAAAACGGTGAGCGTAATTTCGTGATTCTATCCCAACCTTGAACCGTATGTGCACACTCTGATCGGAAAACAGCAGCATTGATGCTAATGCTCTCTCTCACTCGCTCTCCCTGTCTCACACACACACACACACACACACACACACACACACACACACACACACACACACACACACACACACACACACACACACACACTTATGATGACAGTCAATACTGCACTCATGTACGGCACCCTGACATGCCATGTCCAAGACAGTGTCTGGAACGACAATGCCTGTACAATTGTGGTTGGTGTGCCTCTGTGTTCCTAGCGTGTAGGAGCCACGTAGCCTGTGACATCTGTCTATGCTGTGCCATTTGATGCAGCAACTGTGACTGCGAGAATTCTATGCGGTGCTTCCGCAGTCCGCACCCTAACTGGTCCCGCCTGGTACGAAGGGCTGGCCACTTACCGTAGTCGACAGCTGCTCCTCAACCCCAAATCTTCTGCAACCCAAACACTGACTGTGATTGCCCTTGTGCCATTCTACTAGAGCAGACTGCTCCGGCGCTGAGTATCTAGAACCCTGTGAAGTTCATGATATCTCTGTTCTGTCCTTTGCGATTCCGCTTTCTCCACTACCCCTTCTCCCTCCCTGCCCCTTACTTCCTATGGAACTCCTCCTCCTACCCCCTTCCCTTCCTCCATTCCCTTGCGTACTACGGACAAAAATATAATCTGAAGATCTGAAAAAAAATGAACAGGAGTATACCTCCCCCTTTACTCTGCTTCATTTCATAACGTGCAAGTGTACGCGGGGGTGTGGGCAGCTGGCGCTCAACCACAATGAACATGGCCAGCCTTGTGCATGAGAGGCATAGTAAAAGAGGGGAGCTGCAAGAACAAATGAAAGGGTACCCCAAAGGAAGCCAAAGTACAAAGGGATATGGCTGCTACGGGGTTCCCTGTAATATTATAATGACAATAAAAAGGGCCTGAAAGGCCGTCCTGTCCAGATCCGACAGGTAGTTGAATTGGTTGGGCTTAAAGAATTAGCCTTTATTAAAAAAAAAACAAAAAAAAACAGACTTTCAGAGGTGGGTCATTACACCTGTTGCAGCTATAGCAAACAGCGGCTCCTATGTTGCAATTTTTCTCAGCAACTTGATGGATGATATCTGATGATGAGAAAGTGGTGAAGAGAGGTTTGACAGGTTGTTATGCCAAGGACCTCCAAGACAAGTGCCTTGGGTGTTTAGTGTGTGTGTGTGTGTGTGTGTGTGTGTGTGTGTGTGTGTGTGTGTGACTGTTGCCAGAACAACCCCTCATCCTTTGAGACGACTAGGCCGATCCAAAATTGAAACATCCTTACCTTAAAATCTTCTATTGAGCTCTGTATGATATTGTAAATGATTGTAATGTTATGTAATGAACCCAGTCTGGCATATACCCATCAGTCGTCAAAGACCAGTAGTCTCGGTATCTGCAGCAAAGTCTCCAATTATCGTGAAGTGGTATCTGAAACAGTATCTCATTACCATTAGACGAAGAGAGTGGAGGGGGAATAGGCAGAGGAGAAGATGGGAGAGATGATCAATGATCACACAAGAGTAATCCCATCAAACCCCACTTCTTCTCCAGGCTTCTTCCTTCTCCACGTCATCAACCAGTATATGATAACAAGTATGATAATCCTGATCACACAGTAGTGCCACGTGGCACTCTCATCTCGTGAAGACCATGAAGACACAGCAGAATACAGTGACGACGTCAACCCCAGGTGAGTACCCGATCCCAATCATCCACAAATCCCGATCTCCCTCCTCCTCGCAACCAGTCACCTAATGTAGACAGCGTGGACAATGCCACGTCAGTAGTCGAGACAGGTGGCATGCGCCACATCATCAATGAAGACCAGTGGCATGCGCCACATCAGCAATGCAGACCAGTGGCGTGCGCTACATCAGCATGCAATGTAGACAAATGGCAGCGCCACATCAGCAATGTAGACAAATGGCAGCGCCACATTAGCAATGTAGACAAGTGGCCTGTGCCACATAAGCCTTGAAGACAGGTGGCAGCGCCACATCAGCAATGCCTGGCGCACAATGCAGAACGCGCCAGCATGCCGTCACAGTCCGCGTCGTCGTCCACAGTGCCTGCACACAGTCAGCGTCTCGCCAGCGTCGTGCCATCGTCAATGCCACCATCTGGTCGAAGTCAAGCCAGCGTCCAAGCAGCATAGCAAGACTGAATGTTGGTTGACCACCTCGAGACCAGTCCATTTGTAGTGTTTGACAAGGCTGTCTGGCCTCGGGTCCCCTCCTCACAGTCGTTCAGATTGACTCACAGCCGAGGGCCTGGATTGTGTACAGTTGCAGACTTCCCTTTGGACCTGATGCTGTCCGGGTACCTGCCTACAAACAAATGTGTGTGTCTGACCAGCGGCCTGGGCTGGGTACACTTTGACTTTGACTGTTGGGATCTCCGGCATTCGACTTCGTCAACTGTATCTCGTCCAGGCCGTGAATCTTTACGTGGGGTTTATTTGCCCCCCATTGGCCTGGGTCTGAGTGCGGCCGGGAGGCCCTCAGAGTTTCCACGAGGCATACAGCATGGGTTATTGCAGTTATGATAATCATAAGGCTATGATGGAATGGCCGTTTCAATGGTATTTTCTGAGAGGTGCAAGGTCCACCACATCTGCGTACTTGAGCGTGGGATGTGCACACACCCTTTTGCAGCACGAGTTACAGCATTATATTCTATTCTCTTAGTGTTGCTCATTCCTACGCGTTAGGCAGTTCCGCATGAGGGGAGGAAGGAGGGGGAGGTGAGGAAGAGGACGATGGGAGGAAAGCGATGAGGAGAGTGGAGGGAGGAGAAGAACAGGGGGAAGTCCCGGAAGAGGAACCTCATAGGCTTCGCAATACTCACCAGCAGAGCAGAGCAGAGCAGAGCAGAGCAGAGCAGACTGCTAGAGACTGGCACAAGAGGGCAGTCAGGGGTTTTTTATTTGATCGAGAGAGAAAACTGAGTTGAGGAGCAGGTGTTGCCTATGGTGGTACGTGACCACCACGGCGGACTGGACAGGACCGGTTCGGGTGCGAGTTATGGAAGCGCTGCATCCAACTCTCACAGCGGCAGTTGCTGCACTTGATGGGGTCATGGGTGTGTTTGCATGGGGGGGATGGATGAGAAAGTCATGAATGGAGGTTCAACAGGTTGCCCTGCTGTGTGTGTGTGTGTGTGTGTGTGTGTGTGTGTGTGTGTGTGTGTGTGTGTGTGTGTGTGTGTGTTATAAAATATCACCAGAACTTCCCCTATTCCACCCAGATGAGTAGATCCAAAGTCATAGCAACTTTACCTGTATTGCAGACAATGACGCATTCTCAAGATGTGCCAATCCACCAATGAAACAGTTTTGCTTGTGGAGTCAATATCTATTCAGAAGTTCAGAACCTTTAAACAAGCAAGGAATCTCACCTTTTCACAAGCAATGCAACACACTTGAGAAGGGCCAGAGAGAGAGAGAGAGAGAGAGAGAGAGAGAGAGAGAGAGAGAGAGAGAGAGAGAGATGAGCTGTTAAAACCAAGGGGTACCATTTGTTCTGTCTGATGGCTGATTTGGGTTGCAACTTGTGGTGGGTGTTTTGCAGCTGTGCGATGAGCTTGAGGACACAATGTGTGAAGGAGGCAACATCGTTGATTATCACATCTGCGAGTTCTTTCCAGAAAGATGGTTTGATGGAGTGGTGGTTCTGCAGACAGACAACTCCGTACTCTATGAGAGACTGACAGCCAGGTATGGGGCTGCTCTCAATTTTGTGCGATAATGTTGAGCAGTTTTTACAAGCCTTTTTTTAAGTTTTTTTCCTGTCTTTAAACTGCACCTCTCCTGTTGTGCCGATGGCAAATCTTAAAACCTCCGGCTCCGGGTGAGGCATAATCTGCATAGCAGGTCATGCGATGGACTCTTTCTTTTTCATGTCCAATGTCCATTCTTTTTCCTGTTCTGCACCATCTCTTACTTCAAGGATGCATTTGCATTGTGTATTGAGAGTGTCTCCTCTGGGTAAAAAACGATAATGCGTGGAGTGCACTATGCGCTCCTAGTGCTTTCGAGGCTGTGGATATGTGTGTGTGTGTGTGTGTGTGTGTGTGTGTGTGTGTGTGTGTGTGTGTGTAGCATAATGTACGCATAGCATATCATGCTAGGACTCTGTATTATAACGGCCCGGCGAGCTATCGTATGTAATTCACTGCAACCCATACAAAACGAACTTTCCAAGTCGACAATACCATTGGCAGTTGAGAAAATGACCCTAAACACGATGATCAATCAAAGCCTTTTGTAATTACGAAAAGAAGGGGGGGGGTTATAGATATGAATGAGACAGGCTCAGACAGCATTAGCATCATGCATCGCAAAGCAGTGTGAATCAAAAGCAATTAATTGATAAAAGTAGATCGAGGTATAACTCCTCCAAAAAAATTGTGCAAAAAAATCAAACACCATTAGGCCCCTAGCCGTATTTTACTATTTTTCATCGAATCCCATCCTCCATGATGCTGGCGATATATATTGCCCTTCCAACTTCAACTTCACCAACTCTCCCATCGAAACGCCTTGATTCGCGGCACATTGTCCACGATTATAGAACTCCTCTCTCCACCGGGTCCGACGGAACACAAGATGACTTTGTCGCTTGGTATCTACTATCTCGATTGAGATGGAGATCCCAAGGTAGCCTATTCGTGTGGAGCCCAACGGATGGCTATCGCTAGTTTTCAGAAGCGCCAGCCCAGGGATGAATCCTACAACGCCATGCTAGACTCCTCTCAGGTTCTACGAAGAAAGCAGCGATGTTCCAATGTTCCGACACATACCCCGTGAAAAAAGAACCATCCACCCGGTTGTAAGAGCAAGGTGAGTCATTCCTCCTATCATTCGAACAAGCAGAGCGTTAGGCGAACCGATCAAATGTGTATCCACGAGAAGAGATCATGACATCGTAGAATCGCCAGCGACGAGTCAACATGTTTAACCAAGCCCAAACTATGTCCCTTTCTTCATCTCATCCGTGTAGTGCCGCCATTCCGACCTCACCTCCTCCTCCTATTTCAGCTCCCCGGTTCTCGTGAAGGAGAGCCGGGAGAAGCCCATCCACCTCCCGTTCAAACTCCCTCGTCCTCCAGTGCAGAGGCAACGCAAACGTCTACACGCATCTGCCCCCATCATTCCCCAAAACAATTCCTCAACGCAATCACTCCACAGTCGCTAAATCGACGCGCGTCATTGCTTCAAGTCAGCTTCGTAAAAAAAATCAAAGACACAGTTAGTCGCTCAAAGTGCTGGCGATCGTGAAATAGCATGAACCGCTCGCAAAACCACCTGGTGTCTCCGCCATACAGAAGGCACTCTCATACAACCAGGTAAGTGCAACACAGGGGGTGGCGACTCCCTTAAGCGCTTTTCATTGCAGCGCCACACGGTCAGATCATCAGAGGGACCTGCACAACCACATATCAAGCCACACACACAACCAACGCCACAGAGGAGGAGAGGAAGAAGGAAAGACGGAACGATAGCACATCTTCGTTTGGTTCCGGCAAGCCTTCTTCGCCAAATTGCAATTCAACATCCTGCATGGCGCCGCGTGTCTTCTTGAAACTGCCGAGTCACGAGTGTCTGCGTCAACCAACCTTGTACCGTGCAACTTCACGAGCGCAGTTCGAGAGTGAGGAAGATAGCTACGTCAAAGGATATTCTTATAGTGCCCCCCCGTACTGCTACGAAGCCGTGCCGTCAGGAATTATGCTTCGATCCGACAGCCACTCTGTATCGTCAGTCATACTGCAGGGCAGGCAGGCAGGCTGGTCACTGGGTACCAGTCCATGATCGATAGCGGTACCTGGTACCGGTTATCTATCTTTTCTTCGCAGCATGGCCATCGTGGCCCATCAGGAATCTCGAGGCTCAATCGGGGGACCAAAGGCCGCTCTCAATACCATCGGGAGCCTTCGCGCTGGATTGCCCATACCCTGGGGGGAACGAGAACAGTAGGGGAACAAACAAAAAAAAGGGGGAAAAAAGGCGAAAAAAAGGAAAAAAAGAAGGGGAGGGAAAAATGATTGTGTGTGTGTGTGTGTGTGAGAGAGAGAGAGAGAGAGAGAGAGAGAGAGAGAGAGAGAGAGAGAGAGAGAGAGAGAGAGAGAGAGAGGGAGAGAGAGAGAGAGAGAGAGAGAGAGAGAGAGAGAGAGAGAGAGAGAGAGAGAGAGATGTTGGGCAAGCAGTCATCGTGATCCTAACATAGCAGAGACCTTGAGTAGATGAAGGGTAATTAAAGTTATTAAACAGATTGGATAGGTGAGAGCCGGGAAGGTGGGGAGATGGGAGATGTAGTCATATGACTTGAATCCATTGAGAGGAAAACTCAGGCTCAGTGAGGGGGGTCAGGATGGCAGGAGGTTCATAGACGTGGACCAACGTATAATCATTCACGAAGAGGTGAGACATCAGGGTGAAGGGCAAGGGGGTGTGGGTCTGGGTTGTTGTGAGCATCAAGTATTATCACTGGGAGACAGAAAGGGTTGATAACGCCAGGGTGAACATGCCGTCGACGGTTGTGCTCTTTTTTTTTTTTTTTTTTTTTTTTTTTTTTTTTTTTTTTAAACAAAGGGAACCTTTTATGGAGCTGGAAACCGGATTCAGCGTCCCTTACATCTCTTGTACCCACTCTCTTGTAAATTTGTATCGATATTTGGAAATTGAAACGGTCATGTGAACTCATTTCTTCTCATGGAAACGGTCATTTAAACAAAGGGAACTGTTTATGAAGCTGGAAACCGGATTTGGCATTCCTTAGCAGTCACTCACCGACGCACAGTCGATGCATGCATTATCTGAGTGCGTTGATTGATTGAGGAAGCACTGTACACTGTATTGTTTTTTTTTTGTTTTTTTTTGTTTTTTTCCGCACTGTACTTCTTTCTGATGATTGATTCTGGTGGCATAATTGTTTTTGATTGGTTTGCAATTCTCCAGGGGATATTCGGGGAGGAAACTGAGTGAAAACATGGAGTGTGAAATCATGCAAGTTGTACTGGAATCAGCCCGGGAGAGTTATAAGCCAGAGATTGTCATGGCAATGCAGAGTAATACTGTGGAAGATATGGACCGAAATGTCGAAACCCTCAAGGGTTGGATCGATGTGTATGCGCGGACTCGTTCCGTACAATAGTACGAGTTCACGGTAATTGCGTTTTTTTTTTTTTTTTTAATACGTTTTGTTTACCCTGGTCTTTTTTACTGCAAAGTTTTCTGTACCTCCGTTGTTCACTGCAGTAGCTTTTTTTTTTTTTTTTTTTTTATATGTAGCTTTCATAACCCTTTGGGCCCGAATGGGCAAGAAAAATAACAAACGTCTTCCCAGACGTGAGTGGTTAGGTGTTGAGTCAGTCGATCGTCCGACCAGGCCCCCCCCCTTTTTTTTTGCTCTTTTTCGGAGTTTTCCTTTTTTTTTTCTTTCGGAAAAATTGTGGTCTAGAGCTGTCTTGGGGGAGAAGTGGCTTCTCGGTCGAATAGACACGTAACAGAAATTGCTGCCGTCTAAGCTGGGTGTGAAAGAGTGCTGAACACCCTTTTCTTTTTTTTTTTTGCAGAAAAGAAAAGGAAGGCAGGTGTAGGGCTTTCGCGTGCAAACAGTTGTTGCTCATTGACGAAGGCTTCATTTCCAGTTTTTTTCTTTTTTTTTTTTTGGAAAGGCGTCATCATTTCTTAAAGGGTGCTGACTGTTGGAGCTGCACGCGTGAGGACTGCGTCATCATTTCATAAAGGGTGCTGACTGTTTGACTGGGGATTGATCAACTTGTTGTGAACGGACGGAATAATGGTGAGAAGGGCATAACTGCGAAGTTACTGCATCTGTGTGGATGACAGTGAAACATAAAAAAAGGGAAGAAAGAAAAGAAGAAATAACTTCAAATAGAGCACTCTGACTCTGTGTGTGTGTGTGTGTGTAACTGGGTTGTACACAGCGTCAAGCAGTGTTGAATACCCCGACGATCGGCGCCCCTTGACTGGTCGGCTGCCGACCGGTCAGCTGGTCGGCACCTACTGGTCGGGGGTTGTCGACACCCCACAAAGAAGTTTTTTTTTTTTTTTTTTCCAGAACCCAAAATAACCCCACCAACACCCCCATACCCGCCCCCAATACCCACA